TAGAATGCAGGACTGCAGGCTACTTCTGCTGACTGCTGGCTGCCAGCAGTTCAATCCTGACCAGCTCAAGGTTGACTGAGCCTTCCATCCTTCCGAGGGGGGTAAAATGAGGACCCTGTTTAGGGGTCAATAGGTTGACTTCGTAACCTGCTTAGAGAGGGCTGTAAAGCACCGTGAAGTGGTATATAAATCTAAGTGTTATTGCTACTAACATCAAGACACACTTCTTGAGCGGCATCGGGAGCAAATCACGGTTATGTATTGACAATAAATGAATCTCTTAACAATAGCAATAGCACTTACATATTGCTTCATGGTGCTTTACAGCCCTCTCTAAGCGGTTTACATAATCAGCCTATTACCCTCAATCTGGGTCCTCATTTGACTGACCTTGGAAGGCTGGAAGGCTGAGTCAATCTTGAGCCTGGTGAGATTCGAACTCCTGGAGTGAGCAGTGAGTTAGCCTGCAATACTGCATTCTAACCACTGTACCACTACAGCTCTAGATACTAGGTAGGTAGGTAGGTAGGTAGAATAGCAATAGCAATAACCATATCACTTAGACTTATATAGCGCTTAATAGTGCTTTACAGCCCTCTCTAAGTGGTTTACAGAGTCAGCATCTTGTTCCCAATAATCTGGGTCCTAGTTTTACCAATCTGGGAAGGACGGAAGGCTGAGTCTACCTTGAGCCTGGTGAGATTTGAACTCCTGGCAGTGGAATGCAGAGTCAGCCTGCAATACTACCTTCTAACTCCTGCACTTTAACATTGCATCAGTCTTTTTCGACACAGGACTATTGAGAGCTCAGGGTAGGGAGCGGAAGGGAATTATCTCAATCGTGGTTCACCAATTGCCTTTAGAACGAGACTGGGTGTGGGAACACAGTTCACTGGAACTGTGACTAACATTTGCCAGAGATCTTGGCAGAGGAGGCTGAGTTTGAATTAGAAGCCGGTTTGACTGCGTTGAAATCTAAACTATGTCAGGCTTCCTCAAGTAACAAACCACATTTACATTCTATGAACAAGAATTTGTTCTCTCAGCAGAGTGACATATTTCTGAACAAGAAGATTGCATTGTATGTCGGAAGAATTAAAGTATTAGAGGCAGGGAATTTTGCTTTTCATAAATGAGTGCATCATCTACTTTCCTAAATATCTATGAAGATTCTCAACTATCCAGGTCATGGTTGTCCCAGAGGTGTCCCCCCCCCCTGCCAAAAAAAAATCAACTGGATTTTCTTGCTTCTTTCTTTGAAAACATTTTGCTTCTCATCCACCAAGCTTCTTCAGCTCTTCTTCGGAACTGAAGAAACTTCTTGGATGAGAAGCAAATCATTTTGGAAAAAGCACCTTTGGCTAGTAGCAGCTAATAGCTAACAAATTCCACATTTACATGGAATATTATTCCTAATAATATTAAGGGTTTTCTTTTTCATTTAGTGTATTACCGTGTTTGCGCTAATCCATTCTGTTACCAAGATCATTCCTCTTCATTGGGGGAAGGGCACCTCAAATCTTTTTTTCTTAGGATCTCCCTTTCCTATTGTTTTTTTAAAAAATTTTGCTTTTCTGTCAATGTAAATTAAAGTTCAAATTAATAAACCTTCATCATACGAATTTTAACGTTTAATGCTCTTGCATGCTGCTTTTCCCCAATTCTCTTGTCCATTGTTCCCAACAATTGGCAGTTTGCCATTCAGCTTATTTTCTGTTTATTAATGGTCTTCTAATTTCAGCAGTTTGTCTCATCTTTTAAAACAGTTCTGTTCACATTTAGATGAGGTATAAATATACTGATAATAACATTTGGGAGAGAAATAGTAACATTTTAAACCATGATGTATGACACCAATCACTGATCTTAACCATTGATTGTATGGTATAGATTTGTTGATTTTTATCTCTTGTGATTTATTTTGGATGCTTTTTTTCCCCTTAGAGGAAGACTGAATGTGTTGGCAAATGTTATTCGAAAAGAACTTGAACAAATATTTTGTCAATTTGATCCAAAGCTTGAAGCAGCAGATGAGGTGGGAAAATATCCTTTCAACTTTTCCAAATATTGTTGACTACAATTGCTTATCTTGAACATGCTGCTGTGTGGGTATTTTGGATTTTGGAAACTTGATCAACTTTCCATAAAAGCTAGAGTGACCATTTGTTTAATTAATTTTGATGCTCTGCCATGTCGCTGAACAATAATTGTTTACATTGTACACTAAATGTGTTTTCATTTAAAAAAAAAAAGAATTCTACCCTTGGTGTATCAGGATGTCATTGTCTGTGGAGATTCTCAGTCATCCTGGTCATGGTTGTCCCTTCATGGGGCTTTTTCAAGAGGCAACTGGACTTTCTTCTTGTTGTTTTTTCTTTGAAGATGTTTTGCTTCTCATCCAAAGAATCTTCTTCAGTTCTGAAATGAAGAAGCTTCTTGAATGAGAAGTCAAATGTCTTCAAGGAAAAACAAAGTCTAATTGCCTCTTGGAAAAGCAACTTTTCCAAGAGGCACGTAGCATTTATTTCTTTTAAAGTAGCTTTGAAGTCTTCTTCTGCTACCTCTGTGAATATTAAATTGTTGTACCGAATGGTGGAATGTCAATATATAGAAAAAGGATGGCTACCAGAAATTCAGGTGAATACCAGAAGCCAAGAAAGAGACACAGAAAACTCTGTAGTTCTCCCTAGCCTCTACTGATTACCTGGAGTTTTGCCCACCTATTCTGGAAACCATAGCTAGAATAGATGTACTATCAATTATTTTGCTGTTGGGCAGTTCACAAACTTAACAGATAACATAAACACTCTCCTGCTAGGATTCAACTAAGTTATGAAATAAAGAACAAAACACAGGTCAAGGAAGCTCAAATTTACAAGAGTCAGCTGCAAACTTTGAATTCTTGGTATAAATGCAACTGGACTTTCTGGTTTTCCTTTGAAGACCAGAAAGTCCAGTTGCCTCTTGAAAAAAAGCACCTTTGGGACAACCATGACCTGGATGACTGAGAAGCTCCATAGACTCTTGGTATATTGTATTTTGCTGATTTGATAAAGACATATAAATGTCAGAGTTTAGGTAAAGAAATCATTGCTTAACATTCTGCCAATCAATCCTGGGAGCATATGCGTATACTAACATTCCTAATTTATGACTGTCTAAGGGATCTGGAGATGTAAAATATCATTTGGGAATGTATCACGAGCGAATCAATCGAGTAACGAACAAAAAGATAACCCTGTCCCTTGTGGCCAACCCATCTCATTTGGAAGCGGTAGATCCTGTTGTCCAAGGCAAAACCAAAGCTGAACAGTTTTACCGAGGGGATACCGAAGGAAGAAAGGTAACATTGTCTTAATAGTTTTGGTCGAGTGTCATACAGGTTCCATTTTCAAAGCTCATTTTGCCTCCTGTTGAATTTATAGAAGATAAGTGGGAAATCACCATGGATGTTCAGTACAAACCATGATGGCACCCAAATTATGTCTGGTATGTCAGTGTCATAACTGTGCAACCTAGAGGGTCTAGGACACCTTGCCATGGCCAACTCACTGTGAGAAAATTCACTGTGGGACAATTCTATGCAGGATAACTCAAGAGAGGGACAAGTGAATTGCAGTGGGCCTTGTCTTGCTTTAGGTTTGAACCTTCTCAAGTTTGGAAGTCCTCCAGGCTGGGGTGAGCTGCAGTTCTCTACTTGTCCCTCTCTTGAGTTATCCTGGGTTGAATTGTTCCATGGCAAGTGGTTCCACAGCGAGTTGGCCACCGTGAGTCAGCCATGGCAATATGGAGAGAAGCTGGATAATTTATTTATGAGCTCCAGAAGCTCTTTTAGGGAATCTGGCCCCAAGACATTGAGGACACTAAAGACCATAACCAGTAGTTCTCCAGCTGATGGCGCAGGAGGGTCCAGGAATGGGTTGCTCAATCCTTATTTGCCCAAGAGACTGAGTCAGAATTGAAGCCACGCCTCCAGCTTCCCCTGCTGATATCCAATTCCAACTCAGTCTTGCCCGAAAAGAGATTTTTTTTTTTTTGCTGTGAGTGAAAATAGTTTTTCATTTATGTATTTCTTTCGCTTATCTTTAATGTTATTAGCAGAAGGAAGGTGTTTGAACTTGGCTCACAAGTTCTTTTCCACCTGTTTGTGTTAGGATAGTGAATTGTGCGGGTTGATTCCTCCTGGAGGTTCCCAGGTTCCTCACAAGTAAGCAGCCAGCCATTGGAGTCTATTGTGGCTCTGCTTGGCTTGATACCGATTACTGGCTCGTAAGAGGCCAGGGAGATTTCTCTGCATTGCCGCTGGTTCTCAGGGGCTGCAGCGGGCAGACATTGAGGCTGCTGGTGCAGGAAATGTGTGTGTGGCACGCCGGCGTTCCTGTGTCGCTGGACGGACGACAAGAGGGCACACGGCGCCAACAGGACTTAAGGGAGAGCTGCATGGCTAACTGGACGTTCTTGGGGCTGTCTGCTCACCAACACTGCTGGTTTTCCCTGAAGGCTTCTCCCTGGTGAGTATGGGGCCCTGGGCTGGCCATTTTGGGGGGACACTTTATTGGGCGGTGGCCATCTTGGGGAGGCCCTTGTTAGTGACCATGAGGCAGGAGCCATTTTGTTTGAGCATCCGGTGGGTCACATGGTCAGCAGCCGTTTTCTTGCCCCTTTTTCGCTATCATGAGGCTGATTGTGAGTGCCAGCTCCAGTAAGAACAGTCGCAGATTACTGTGCTGGTTCCTGACCTGGGTAGAGTGAGGCCTTGGGGCATGGAGATCGCTACATTGCCATGGCTGATTCCCTTGGTGAAAGTAACTCTGGGGCAACTTTGGCAGCTCCCTCGAAGAGCTCCAAGAAGAGGAAGAGTTCCCCCCAGGATCCTGCTTCACTGGTGAAGCATGCTCCACCCAGGCAAGGGGGTTGGGGAGAAGTCCAGGCAGGGAGGCGGAGATAAGGCTCCTCTGTCTTTGGTGAGGTCCCCCCCTCCTCAGGGTGGCTCCACTTTCTCCATCCCCTTCTCCTTCAAGGATTTCTGGATCCCCAAGGGCCAGTTCCAACTCACCCCCACTTTCGGAGGTTGAGGACGAGGAAGGCGAGTACCATTCGCTTCTACGCATTATGCCTGCTCCTGAACCAGGACACAGGCACCCGCTGACTCCCAAGCCTGGGCCCAGTCATGACATTGGTCAATTTGAGGACTTGTCTGATAACATTCAATCTCTTATTCATTGAGCCATTGCACATGGCATAGCCCTCCAGGGTTGCCCACCTGACCAGGAGGACGTGGAGCTGTTGGAGGCCAAGCGCAGACATATCCAGGATCTGGTTGCTTGCCCAGACAGAACATAGAGAGAGGTCTCTCCTTCACTGAGGAGCGAGGTTTCACTCCAGGAAGAGGAGGAACAAAAGGAGATATAGCTTTCTGATGATGAAGGTTTGGCACCAGATTCCCCTGCCTTTGCCAGTTTGTTTCTTCCTAATTTGTTCCGTTCCTTGCTATTTAAAACCAGGAGCACTGCAGCCACTAAGACAGAGGAGGACAAAAAGAAGGAGAAGGAGGCCGGGACCGAGGCTTCAACTTCTAAGCCAGCGCCAAAGAAAAAGTGTTTCTTTGTGGCACAGAAAGAGAAGATCTGTGAACCAAAACTGTTTCTGGATGTCATCCAGAAGCAGTGGGCCAAGCCAGGTTCTTTCCTCACCCCAGGTGGGAATGACAGACGGTTCTATAATATGGAGCCTGATTTCTCCCAGGCATTCCAGGTTCCAGAAGTGGAGGCTCCTGTAGCTGCCTTGGCTTCTCCAACTCCCATGGTGGCGAGTGATGTGGTCGACAACTTAAAGACAGAAGATAAGGGGACTGAACTGGCGTTGAGACATGGGTGATTAAGGACGCTTCCTCTGTCTCCTCCTTCAATCGTGCCACAATGATGTGGCTTGAGCAAATGCAGGAGCATGTCCCAATGCATGATGTGAGGCTGCTTCAGGACATCAGCAAGGTCATGGCTGTGACTCGGGAGGGCCTGGGCCGTCATCCGGTGGTGAAGAGATTTCTACAGGGGGGCAGCTGATCTTCGGCCCCCGGTAGTTCACAGGTTCCCATCTTGGGATTTGTCCACGGTCCTCCTGGCCCTAGTGGATCCTCCCTTTGAACTGCTGAGGACCATGTCCTTGCAGTTCCTAGTCACCATCACGGTGGCTAGGAGGATTTCAGAGTTAGGTGCCCTCTCTGTCAGGGAGGACCTTTGTATTTTCCAACCTAACAAGGTTGTACTGAGGCTTGATCCCACCTTTATCCCCAAGATAAATTCCTATTTTCATAGGGCCCAGGAGATAATTCTACCAGACTTCTGCCCTAACCCCTCTCATAGAAAGGAGACGTCGTGGCACAAGCTGGACGTGCGGAGAGCCCTCTGTATTTACATAAAGAGAACAGCGCCCTCCAGGAAAATGGAGGCATTGTTTTTTTTCCTTCCAGCCTTCTGCTGTGGGGTCACAGGTGTCCTCCTCTACTATTGGACGCTGGTTGTGAGCTTGTATTGCCAGGGCTTATGAGGTGAGAGGCAAACCAGCACCACAGGGGAAAACAACTCATTCGACTAGGAGTGCGGCCACCACGGCCACGTGGAACACTCAGGCCCCAATTGGAGATGTTTGTAGAGTTGCAATGTGGATTTCCCCTTCACTTTTTATTAAGCATTATAGATTGGATGCGTTTGCATCTGCAGAGGTATCATTTGAGCATAGGGTGCTGCAGAGGGTACATGCTCCCTCAGGTGCCACGAACCAGTGAGTTCCCGCCCTAGGGACTGCGGCTTTGGTATGTCCTATTCCTGGACCCTTCTGTGCCATCAGCTGGAGAAGGAATGTTGGTCCTACCTGAACGTTCTTCTCAGTGTGGTGCAGGACGGTCCAGGTCCCACCCTAGTTATTGTTTTTGGTTAGGTCCGTGTCCTCGGGGGCTGCTAATGCTGTGGGCAGGGCCTGTTCTTCTTTTGTTTCTCTAGTTGGAGCTGCGCCTCGTCAGAATTGGATATCAGCAGTGGAAGCTGGAGGCATGGCCTCAATTCTGATTTAGTCTCTTGGGCAAATAAGGATTGAACAACCCATTCCTGGACCGTCCTGCGCCACACTGAGAGGAATGTTCAGGTAGGACCAACATTCCGTGTCTGTATCTCCAGAAGAAGTGCTTCAGGATCTGTGGAAATGCAAAGCCCTCCTTTTCAAAATCATTACAGCAGCCGTATCTTTCCAGACCCACCTGGTAGTTTTGAGAAGTGCTCTTGGCTGAAGGCATGAAGTGGTTCTAGGGTGCAACTTTTAAAGTATTGCACAAATCCTTAAAGAAACACCCACAACTGGTTCATGCAACTGCTTCACATTCACAGCTCCTCTCCCAACGTGCTTGCATCACCTTCATAATCATCTTTGTGAATTCCATCCCAAAAGGATATGCTTGTTTGTAAGATGGTTGGTTGGTAACTACATGTATTATTTTTAAACCCATTACGACTTAGGTTATGTCTATACTTCTACATGGAGATGCAGCCTTTGCTGGTCAAGGAGTGGTTTATGAAACATTCCATCTGAGTGATCTTCCACCATATACCACAAATGGCACTATTCATGTTGTGGTCAACAATCAGGTAAAAGCAGAGACCGTCCTTAAGAATTTGAGTTGCATTAGCATCTTTCAACAGCTCTTTGTGAAGCTACTGTAATAGATAATAGAATCTATGTGACATTTGGTCCTGCATGGAACCACATTGTTCTTTGGCAGAAAAATATGGGTTAAGAATTACAGCTCTCAGAAGATCCAGTTAACTAGAGTTGTAACCCCAACACTTTTGGAGGATATTAAGTTGGAGATTCCTGGCTGTGGGAATTTGGTTCATTCTCTCTTTCTCCCTCCTTCCCTTCCTCCCTCTCTCTCCTTCCCTCCCTCCCCCCTCCCTCCTATCATCCCTCCCTTCCCCCTCCCTCCTCTCTCCCCCCCTCTTCCACTCTCTTAAAAGCAAGTGTCAGCAGACCAAATAATATTGTTTTGCATGTGCAGATTAACTCTGAATTTAAAGCAAAGTCATGCTTGTTTAAACCAATCTTGAATTGCCATGGAATGTGTAGATTTTGTTTTGTCTCTTTTGCTACTGAAAATGATGTTTTATTGGAGAAGAAAAGAATGAATTAATACTTTAAAAAAAAACAGTTGTACACCAAGCATATGATACTGTCATAGAAGTCAGTACTAAAACCTAAATCTCAGATATTTTAATGAATCCAATAGAAGACAATTCTGGTTTGTACTGTGGAGTCCTCGGTGCTCTTTGAGCCTAATGGTTTTCTTGCAGACATTTCATGACCCAGCTAGGTAACATCATCAGTGGGTTTTTTATTATTATTACCTAATTTGGCAATGAAATATTTGCAGGCAAAACAACCCAGTTCAAAGAACATCAATGAGTCCACTTGAATAGCTTTCCATAACAGAGAAGTGAAGAAGAGGAGCACTGCAATTACTTGGTTAACCAGTTTATCTCACATTTTAGATTGGTTTTACTACAGACCCACGAATGGCTCGGTCCTCTCCCTATCCAACAGATGTGGCCCGGGTAGTCAATGCACCCATATTCCATGTGAACGCTGATGATCCAGAAGCAGTGATGTATGTCTGCAGTGTTGCTGCCGAGTGGAGAAACACTTTTAACAAAGATGTGGTTATAGATCTGGTGAGGGTTCTTATTCTTTACTCAAATGGGTATCTAAACAAGGACATAAAATATTCTTTCCTGTGCGCCCAGGAGAGCTTTTTAAAGCAGCTTCTTTTTAAAGTAGAAAAGTGTGTTTTCTGCGGCTGTGGCTGCAAAATGTCTCCTGGGAATTTCTCAGGAGCAAAGCTGTTGTGAGAAGAGACCATCAGTACAATCTTGCCTTTAGGACCCTAGTCTCTGAAGGAAATGCCTGCACTTTTCAAATGCTGATCCTTAAGTTCTCCATGCAGAGATCCTGAATGTGAGACAGTGTGACTAAGCTGAACAGTTCTCTTAAATATATGTAGAAGTCAATGAAAAATAGGATCTCAGGCTGCTGTGATTAGATGCTTCACTCTGCAGGAAACCAAAAATTATTCTCCTCTTTAAAAATATACCACGTATGCTTGCCAACAGTTCATATTTTGCTTTTTTTAAAACTTGCAATAGGGTGGATAGCAGCAAAGAACATGCAATGCTAGAGGTGATTGCTAGATTGATGGCATCCACCTCTCCGCCCCCCCCCCCGCCTTGTTTTCTGCTCTCCACACACACCATCCATCTTTATGGTTATCATACTGATGTATTTATTCTTGGCATGTCATTGTTTATTTTATTGTTCTATTATTTTACTTCTGTTCTGTTTACACACCTTTCATTTTTCTTTCTTTTTTATGACCTTCCTATAGCCTCTGATACTGGCTGGTAGCCCTACAGTGAGATGTGGCAAACAAATTTAACAAATAAATAAATATATACATATCAACAATTCATAGTTTAGTAAGTTTGAGCACCATTTTACATGGAAAAAGACATCAGAAAAGAAAGGAATAATTTATTCGCTCTGTTTAGAGAGTGACTAGACTACAACTTCATCCTGATGTCTATGGACATTCTCGATCATCCTGGTTATAGTTATCCTGCTTTTTCAAGAGGCAACTGGACTTTCTTGGTTTTTTTCCTTGGAGACGTTTTGCTTCTCATCTGAGAAGAAGCTGAATAGCTGAAGAAGCTTCTTGGACAAGAAGCAAAACGTCTTCATTAAAAACAACAACAAAGATTATCTAGTTGCCTCTTAAAAAGCATCTTTGGGACTTCATCCTAATGAAAACCCAACCTTCCTCTGCAGGTTTGTTATCGAAGACGAGGCCATAACGAAATGGATGAGCCCATGTTCACTCAACCACTGATGTACAAGCAGATTTCAAAGCAGGTGCCAGTGTTGAAAAAGTATGCTGACCAGCTGATTGCCGATGGGGTGGTCACGCTGCAAGAGTTTGAGGTAGACCGTGGCGATGGGGGGGATGCTGGTTTTGTGACAAGGAATGTTGCTGTAACCTGTTGCTCCAAGTGGGGCATCTTTCGGCTGATAGTTATTTTTCTATATGTAACTAATGGTGGAAACAGGTTGTTACTTCTAAGCCTTTAAAAATAAAGTAACATTTTAACATTTAGCAACATTAAGCAAAACAAGAACAAAGAACAGTAGTCATGATGTGTGCATAATAACCAGAAAGGTGAAAAGCAAATCAGGGACAAGGGATTTCTAAAATGGAGCCTAAACCCCAAGATAACTTCTCAAAGATTACCAGCATCTATTCTGAGTGTCTCAGGACTTTGGATGGGGTTCAGTGTCATTGGAAGCAAGAAGAGATTACAGAAACCCACCAAGGATTGTGGATGCCTTGCAGAAGTGGTATTCAGCCAGTTCGGACTGGTTCAGGTGAACCAGTAGTGGAAATTTGACCTGGTTCGGAGAACCGGCAAATGCTACCTCTGGCTGGCCCCGCCCGCCCACCTGCCCATTCGCCCCACCCGCCCGCTGCTCACCCCACCCAGTCACTCCTCACATCCTATGCGGCACACTGGGTCCTCATTTGAGCATGCACAAAGTCTCTGGTCTGCGCATTGCCTTTCGAAGCTGCCTTCCCACACAGTGCTTGCGCCCCAACTGACCCCCTCCCTGCTCTGCCTGCTTACAGGTAAGCTTACAAATCTCACTATCCCCGGAGCTCACCTGGTTGGCTTTGCTGCCAGCACAACTCCATCCCAGTCGGTGGCACTGGCTGCAATCTAGCTAACTCCCCTTCTGTCCCTGCCTCCCTTCCCCTACTCCCTTTCACGCAGCATGCAGCCCCACCATGATTCCCTGCCTTCCCAGCAGTTCCCATGGCCAGGCCCACTGCCTACACTTGTTTAGAGAACCCAGGCAGGCCTCAAACCACTCCCTCCCCCCGGGCCAAAGCAATTTACCCGGCCTGCGGCCTGCCACACGCAGCCAAAAGGCCAGGGGGGAGGGAGAGTTCAGGGGTGGGAAAGGGGAAACGCACAGACGCAGGTGGGCTGCAGCAGTTTGGGTAAGGTTCTTACTTTACTGTCCCATCCGTAAAGCGCTGTGGCAGAGAGGAGCAGCTGCTGACCTGGAGAGCACATGGAGCCACTCCAAGTATTCTCCAGCGACCTGTTCCCTGCTGCTCTTGCTGGGTCTTGTGCAGCACAGCAAAATTTACCTTAGCAACCAAGAGTTGCCGCTTTGAGTCCTGTAAGTCCCACTCCCATCCAGAAAACGGTGTGGGCGACAGAAACAGCATTCAACCTGGCTGCTTCTCTCTGCCACCTGCAGCACTCTCCCGATGTGGTCAGACCAAAAGCTAAATTTTGCTGTGCTGTGACAGATGCTTTTTCATTCCCAGCAAGAGCAGCAGGGAAGAGAAAACAGGTTGCTGGAGAACAGGTGGAGGGCTCCATGTGCTCTCCAGGTCAGCGGCTGCTTTTCTCCCCTGCTGCTCAAAGTGCCCAGCCCTCTTTGTGACAGAACTGGTTAAGATGTGGATGGGGGATCACCAAGAGACTCTGAGTTTTATCATAGCCCCCAGAATGGAATGGCCTCTCATACTTGCTTTACCCTGGCTCCAGAAATGGAACCCTCATGGGAACTGAAGGAAGAGCCTGTTGCACATCCATTCCAACCAGCCAGGGAAGTGGGGTGGAAAACCCCACTGCATAGCCAAAGCTGTGAAGGAATTGGCAGAGGCAGCAAGCAAAAGCATTGCTGGGGAGGAGAAAATCCATAAGGAATATTGGTACCTCAGGGAGGTGTTCAGTGAGAAGGCTTTGAATGTGCTCCCATCCCATCGCCCCACGGACTGCAGTATAGAAATCCTCCCAGGGGTGAAACTCCCTAAGCCAAAGATGTACTCGATGACTCCGCATGAACTGGAGGGATTGCAAAACTTTATTGATAAAAACTTAAAACAGGGTTCATCCAACCTGCTAGGTCATGGGTGGCTGCGCCGGTATTGTTTCGTGAAAAAAAACGATGGCTCTCTTCATCTTTGTGTTGACTACAACAACCTTAACACCATTTGAGTAGAAAATGTTTACCTGTTACCCCTGATGAAGATCATGTTAAATGATCTGGCCAAAGGGAAAATTTTCACTAAGCTGGACTTGAGAGAAGCTTACTACAGAGTTCGAATTAAGGAAGTGGACAAGTGGAAGACCGCCTTCAATTGCCCTTTGGTTTGTTTCCAGTTTAGAGTGCTTCCATTTGGGTTATGGGGGCACCAGCGGTGTTCATGCAATTGATAAATGAAGTGCCGTATGAATATCTTTATAAGGGCGCCTCTTGACATGAATGATGTCAAGTTGGTCACACCCACTCAATCACATGACCAGCCAAACCCACCCAATCATGGCCAACCAGCCACACCCACCAAGCCACACCCACAGAACCAGTAGTAAAAAATTTTGAATCCCACCATTGGTGTCTTGTCAAGCAAAGTTACTTCAGAAAGCTTGCTTCTGGCTCTTATAGAAGAGTAGCCAGATGTCATTTAAATTATTATTGCATTTCTTTTGCCTGGGATCAAAGAAACATTGCTTCTATAGTGTTTTTCCCCTATTCTTCCCAAATAATTGGCTTCATATTGAATCCTACTCATTGCGACTTGGAAGGCCAGACGTCTCTCATGTACTATGGTGATTTTAAAAAAACCACAATGGGATTCTATTTATTTGTTTTTGCTTGTCTACCCTGTTGTTCCTCTGGACCCTAAACCTAACCCTTGTTCATGGTGAGGAAAGGGGGGGTGTCTCTTTATACTCACAGTGGATTAAATATTAGGGGTGGGGGTTTGAAGAAACATCAGGTGAGCTCATTGGTCAAGTGAGGACTTCAGTTTTAAAATATAACGGTGTAACCTTAAGGACTGAATAATGATTAGGGCAGCAAAATCATTCAGAAGGCTGTTTCACTCACGGGGTCACAATGAAGGATTCACGGGGTCACATCCTTCCTAAGCTGCTCTTGAAAGCATCAAGGCGTCATCCAGCATGGCCATGGTTGAGGGCTTTCTAAAATCTGCACATATTCTTCAAAAGTCAAGAACTTTCACAGAGAACCATGAATGAACATCTTTGATGGGACATGGCTATCACTGCCCCCCAAGGAATATCCTTCTGGATGATTTATAAATCATAAATAAGCAAGACGTGGTTGATAGACTTGAGTATACAAATAGTTCTGATATGTGTTTCTGGGAAGATAGTCATGCAGATTTGGGAAATAAGAAGAATGTTGGGTAGATGAATGTTTGCAACTAAATAGTCTTTCTTCTGCTGAAAACTGCAGTTAATCATAGTTTTCTGTTACACTTAAAGCTATGGCTACTAGCTTTTAGATACACCACATTTGGACTTTAGTGTTACATCTGTACAACCAAGATGGATATAATGTCGCTTAGTGTATTAAATTAGTCTTGTTGCTTAGATTTGGAAATAATTTGATGGTTCTTTTCCCATACTGATATTTAATCATTGGATTGGCACTCATTTACTTGTGGACAAGATTTAATCAACATCAAGAAGGCCGTCAGCATTACTCAAGGGAAAAAACAGAAAATGCAAAAGAGGAGACAAAGATTGATTCTGGATAAGAGTTGGTTAAAAACTTACTCTCTGATTGAACCACTAGTTCCAGTCTGTGATTTCTCCCTCGCCCTCCTTCTATTCTACAGGAAGAAATTGCAAAGTATGATAAGATTTGTGAAGAAGCTTACACCAGGTCCAAAGATAATAAAATTCTCCGAATTAAACACTGGCTGGATTCTCCATGGCCAGGTAACAAGATTGTTGGCAACGGTGTTGAGATGCTCAACTTTTCAGTATTCCCCCACTCCCACCCCAAGCATGGTTAATAGTGCACGTAATTTATTTTGATTGGTTAAATATTGTTATTGTTGGGGTGATCAAGGGCATTGGCATGTGAAACATGTAAAAAAGGGGCGAAATCCCATTGGCACAATTATGGGTGCCTACTTGACTGTTTACACACACATGTACGCACGCACGCACACACACAAACATACACACACTCCCCAGCATCCTTTGTTGTGGTCACAGGTTTCTTATTCTTTTTCTCTAATTCATCCTATATCTGTCCCTTTGTGGACCTCTTCAAATATTAAATTTGCAAAACAGAAGCTATTGCCAGCATGTTTGAGAAACAAAACGGAAGTGGTACCTTCAGCAAATCTCCCTCCCCACAAAAGAGGTTAAAAATATTTCCATCTTCTATCCTAATCATATCTTTCTGTTAAGGTCTCTGAAACAACCAAGCCAGAAAGTCTTTTCAGCTTAAAAGTAGTTTGTCATCTCCATAGAAATCATCAAAAGTTGGCTGGGCAATATGTCTGAATAAGCACATAATATCTCAGAATATAGAATATTAATCAGTGAGTCCGATGTGGTATAAGAGGTTGAGCCCTTTCTCAGGGATTTTGGTCTCGGAAGTTGGTAAAAAAATTGCAATACATTTGATTAAAGAAAAGAATACAATTAACTTTGTTTCTTCTTGGAAAACATTTTTGGACTTTGTGCAGGAGATGGGGAAAAATTCAATTTTGGGTTTTGCTGTTTAGATAGGTTTGTTATTATAGAAATGGCTAGTATATATTGTTATGTAAAAGTAAAAATTAAGGTTGTATCAGTGGTGGGTTATGACTGGTACGCCCCGGTACGGGAGTACCAGTGTCTGCCGGGAGCACCAGGTACCGTTCTGGCACAGTGCTCCGGAGGGCCTACCCGCCCGCCCACGGTCCTTACCGGTATTTGAGGTTTTCGGGGCTTCCGTGCACGCTCACCTGCGTGGCGCTCTGCCGAGCAGCTAGAGTGTTGCGGACACATCGTGGGCAGTAAGTATACATGCACATACTTAACGTTTGTGCACGTGTGCTATGCGCGTTCATGTGGTGGGCGCCCGGCCCCATTGCATCGTACCAGTTGCAACGGGATCCAGAACCCACCACTGGGTTGTTTGTTATTACCTTATTGTCAAGCTTATCCCAGCTTGGGTATTAAGGAAAGATTAGATTAACAGAGCTGGAAGGGACCTTCTAGGTAATCTAGTCCAACATCCTGCCCAAGCAGGAGACCTTACATCATTTCCGACAAATGTCAGTCTCTTCTTGAAAGCTTCTAGGGATAAAGCTCCCACAACTCCTGAAGGCAACTTCTGTTCCATTGGTTGATTGTTCTCACTGTCAGAAAATTTCTCCTTATTTCTAGGTTGAATCTCTCCTTGATCAGTTTCTATCCATTGTTCCTTGTCTGATGTTCAGGTGCCTTGGAAAATAGCTTGACCCCATTCCTCTCTGTAGCAGCCCCTCAAGTATTAGAAGACTGCTATCATGTCTCCCCTGGTCCTTCTCTTCACTAGACTAGCCATGCCCACTTCCTGTAACTGTTCTTCATATGTTTTAGTCTCCAGGCTTCTAATCATCTTGGTTGCTCTTCTCTGCACTTTTACTAGAGTCTCAACATTTTTTATAGTGTGATCGATCAAAAATGGATGCAATATTCTAGGTGTGGTCTTACTAAGGCTTTATACAGGGCGGGGCATAACCTTTTCCTAGGGGGTCACAGCAACACTTGTAATAACAACACAAATAATTCATACACCATTCGAAAGCCCATC